TGCTCAATGTCAAAAATAACCTTGTGTTTTAAAAATAAATTGGATAAAGAATTCATTGTGACTTGGAAAGTAGTTCTGAATTATAATTCCACATGTGGATTTGTATTGCATCCCAAATTCTGTCTTATTTTTTCCTATGCTTTTAACAGTATATTTCTTTCTGATTTGTGAAGTATAGATTTTTGATTAGGAAAAAATGATTACAATCTTTCATTTTGCTTATAGTTTAGACAATATGATTATTGCATATTATTTTGATTACTCAAGTTTTAAATCGACATTATATATATTTCAGTATATAGAATAAAACCAGTGTTGCTTGGACATTTTATTTAATCTTTCTAGATCTCTTTCTTAAATATTTTTTTTGCTTTTCCTGTTTTTCTGTTCTTGATTATGTTTTAAAATATTTAATAAAATTTTAAAAAGAAATAATAAAATCTCTTCAGAAACTAGCTGACGTATCTATATTTTTATATTCTAAACCTTAACTCAGTTTTCATTTAGTATTTTTCTCTGCTTTAGGCATTATCACCTACTGAAAAAAGGTTTGTATAATGGAAAGAAAATATTGGGGTATTGCAAATAATGTAAATAGATGAAATAGTAGGTGATCAAATATCTACTTCCTCAAACTTCCCTGTTTCTGGAAAAGACTTGGGGAGATATTCACTGGAAGCCTTATATTTATGTTTACTCCTATTGAAAAATGAATTAAAAGAATTGGCATGACAAGAATTGGGGAAAGCACTATTCATTCATTCATTCATTCATTCATTCAACATGTATTTATTTAGCTATTTTTATGGCCACTCATCTTAACCAATATAATTCAGAGTTGCAAGCAAAGACATAAACACATAATGAAAAATCAGAAGTCAGATTTAAAAGTTAGTTGAGGTATCCTAAAAAAAATATGTAGCACATAAAAGCACATACATACCAGCTCCACTACCATTCTATTTCCACAAATGGGAGGAGCTAGATTTTCATGGCCTTCCAGAAGATCAGCAGGTTAGGGCCATCTTATTTTCAAGGGGGGAATTTGTTTCACAAGGCAAGTGCCATAACAGAGAAGGGGTCCTGGATCCTGCCAGATAACATTGCTTCACAGAAAGGAATCTGAGCATTCTGACCCTGTCAGATCCTAGTATAAAAGACAAATATACAGACACAGGCAGTCTTGCAAGTAACCTGGTTCCATGCCACGTAGGGCTTTAAGTGACAACCAGCATCAGAATTGCACCCAGAAGCCTACTGAGAATCAATGCAGATCTCATAGGGGTGATATTACCTGGGTACACTATGGTATGCCAAAACTTCCTGTTCTGTCACATTGCGGATTAGCTGAAGCTTCTGAAAGCTCTTCCGTGGTAGCCCCAGGTAGTTGACATTGCAGTAGTCTTGCACGTACAGGACTAATGCATGAGTAACTGAGCAGTCCATTCTAGTCTAGGAACAGACACAAGTAATGCACATTGATTTATACAAAAAAAAAAAACACGTCCTGGCCATGGCTGTTCCCTACTGTCCAAGAGCCATGGGTCTCAGAAGACCTTCAGATTACTACAGCCACAGTTAATGATGGAAGGTCTCCAGATATCAGATGAGTGGCGGGGTGGGGGAAACTAAAATTCATAACCTCTCAGGCTTGTTAGGTTTCAGTCAAGCCTATAAAGGATCACACAATCTTAAGGCATGGGGAAAGGCCTTCCAAGGTATCACTTGGATTGTCCAGGTGCAGATGTTTATTTATTTATTTATTTGATTTGCCAATTGTTTACAAGATAATAAGTATAAGTGTATACATAGTTGTGAATACATGAAATGGGTACATATAAGAAAAATAAAAGAATAAGAGAAACAATAGGACAGGGACGGTAGGCACGTTGGTGCGCTTATGCACGCCCCCTACAGACCTCTTAGGAAAGGGGTGAGGTCAATAGTAGACAGTCTAAGGTTAAAGTTTTTGGGGTTTGGGGAAGAGACTACAGAGTCGGGTAGAGTATTCCAGACATTGACCACTCTATTGCTGAAGTCGTATTTCCTGCAATCAAGTTTGGTGCGGTTTACTTTGAGTTTGTATCTATTGTGTGCTCTTGTGTTGTTATGGTTGAAGCTGAAGTATTCATTGACAGGTAGGACATTGCAATGTATGATTTTATATACCATGCTTAAGTCAGACCGAAGACGGCGTAATTCAAGGTTTTCTAGTTCTAGAATTTCAAGTCTGGTGGCATAAGGTATTCTACAACGAGTAGAAGAGTGGAGAACTCTTCTTGTGAAATATTTCTGGACTTTCTCAATTGTGTTAATATCAGATACGTAATGAGGGTTCCAGACTGATGAACTGTATTCGAGTATTGGTCTAGCAAATGTTTTGTATGCTCTGGTTAGTAGTGTGATATTACCAGAGAAAAAGCTACGTAGGATTAGGTTAACAACTCTTAATGCCTTTTTGGCTATGTAGTTGCAGTGGGCTCTAGCACTTAGATCATTAGAGGTGAGTATTCCAAGGTCCTTTACAGAGCTTGGGTCATCAACAAGATCTTGGCTATTCAGCTTGTATTTTATTTTCTGATTTTTTTGCCAATATGTAGGACAGAGCATTTATTTGTTGAGATTTGAAGTTGCCATTTGTTTGACCATTCAGATACATAGTCAAGATCTTTTTGTAGGGTAGCAGTATTGTCTGTGGTATTGAACAGCTTTACATCATCAGCGAAGAGAACGCAATTGCTCTTAATATGATCACAGAGGTCGTTTATGTAGAATATGAAGAGAGTTGGTCCTAGAACACTGCCCTGGGGGACACCACTATTGACAGGTACTGGATTTGATAGGACGCTCCCGATTTTGACCATTTGTTGTCTGTTTGACAGGAATGCTTCTATCCAGTTATTCAGTTGTCCAGAGATACCATAGGATTTTATTTTTAGGAGTAGTTTGTCGTGTACCACTGAATCAAAGGCTTTACAGAAGTCTATGTAGATTGCGTCTATTGCTTTGCCCTGGTCGAGTTGTGTCGTCCATATGTTTTTGCAGTGTAAGAGTTGCAGATTACAGGATAGTTTTTTTCTGAAACCAAATTGTTTTTTGGAGAGTAGGTTGTTTGTCTCTAAGTGGAGGATGATGGATTGGTTAATAATTGATTCCATGACTTTACAGGTGACGCAGCATAAGGAGATTGGCCTGTAATTTTCAACTAGGCTTGGGTCTCCCTTTTTGAAGATGGGGATGACTGTGGCTTGTGACCATAGGTTAGGCAAGGAGCTGGTCCTGAAAGATTTTTCAAAGATTACGCTTAGAGGTTTGGCTATGGCAGTGGATAGCTTTCTTAAGAAGTAGGCACATATTCCATCCGGTCCAATAGATAGAGATGGTTTTAGATTGCGTAGTGATTTTTTAACATTGTCTTCTGTGAAATCGATATGTATTAGATCATTGTTGTTATCTGTGGTACGGCTAGGAAATACTGGGCATGATCCATTGCTGTTTACAAATACTGAGCCGAAGAATGTGTTAAAGATGTTGGCTTTAATGGTGTCGTCGTTGCAGTCTTTACCATCAGGTCCTATCAAGGGAGGGATGGACCTTGAGTCTTTTAGTTTGTTGTTTACAAAATTGTAAAAAGCACAGGTGGAATTGGTGCTTAGAAGGTTTGTAACTTGCTATAATCAACCTATTGATGATGCTTAGCCTGGTGCTTCCAGATTACATTTACCAGTGATTGCTTTAAAGTAGAGAGTAGAGAGAAGGTTGAATCCTGCCACATCACACAGAGAAAAAGGCAAGGGCTAGGCCTGCCTCTCCCCACACACACAGACCAAGTTGTATATCATCAATCTTATTGGATTTCCAGTGATTATCATGTCAAGTTAATAAAGTTATTACAGGTTTGATTTTAGTGTCTCAGTGTGGTGGTTCGGGGTCTGCTCCCTCCCCCCAGTGGTTTCTGTTTGAAATGATTTTGTCACTTATGTTGCATTTTGAGTATAGTTATTCTACTATAAATGCAATTTTCTTGGTATTTTATACCATATTAAAGTTATTGGCCTGGAAATGTATTAATGGCAGTCATTTCTTGGCATTTTTGACATACTCTTTGTGAAGCTTTGAAAACTTTGAAGCTTTGATGTTAAATAAAACACATATTTTATGGTAGATATTATCAATATTATGATAATCCAGAATTACTTGCAGACTGATGAAATCACACTGTTGAGTACAGGTAATCCCTGAATTATGAACGTTCCCTCAGCAAACATTTGAAGTTACATGATCAACACCCCCTAGTGTTTCCGAACAAGGCCCGAAATTATGAATCTTGCAGCACCATGACAGTTGTTCGCCCTAACAAACAACTGCAGATGCTCTGTAACGTTCGTCCTGCACATTGCTGGCTGAAATGAAGCTTCTGAGGGGCTGGATCCTTCTCTCAGAAGCCCCATTTGGCCATCAAGGGGCCTTGCTTGGCAACTTGCCAGGCAAAATGGAGCTTCTATGGGGAAGATCCACCCCCTCAGAAGCCCCATTCGGCCTGCAATGGGCCAGGTGAGACCTCTGGACAGTTGAATGAGGCTTCTAAGGGGAGGCTCCAGACCCCAGAAGCTCCATTTCAGCCTGCAACAGGCCAGGGGAGGCCTGTGGTGGGGCTGAGCGGAACCTCAGAGGGCTGAATCCAGCCCCTGGAGGCTCCATTTTGGCCTGCAATGGGCCAGGCAAGACATCTGGATGACTGAACAGGGCTTCTGAGTGGAGGATCCAGCCCCCAGAGGCTCCATTTTGGCCTGCAATGGGCTGGGGGAGGCTCGTAGAGGGCCGAACAGAGGCTGCTTTCTAGATCTTCACAAGGTAAGTGACCTGGTGTGGCTGGTTGGGTGGGGGGAGCAATTTGGGCCAGCATGAGGTATTTCAGTGGGTTGGGAAGGCCTTGGGTGATCTTAGGCAGGTGGCTTATTTCATCCAACTGTTCAAAATTATTTTTTCTTTGTAGGCCATTTTCAAGAAAGAAAACAGAACAATGCAGTGAAGGCTATAAATCCACTAATGAAAAAGATATAAGGTAACTTTGTTATAAAACATATAAAGTACCAATAATAACAATCACTGTTATTAATAATTGAATTTTCTTTTCTAGGGTATGTTCAGTATGATTTACACTAAATCATATAATATATTAAAGAATGAACTCACAACCTAATAGAAACTAATCAAGCTAATAATAACTATAATAACTGTAAATATAAGCTGCCAATGTCATATCCAATATTTCCTCTAATTTTTGACATGCTGCGTGTGGTCAAATAATTGTACAAGTATAAAAGGAAACTATCCCAAGAGCACCTATTAAACTAGAGCTTAAGTTAAGCCAAAGCTTTCCAAAATAGCAAGCTTGTCCAGGATTCGTTGTGAGCCTGGAGTTTTATAACAGGAAAAACTGTTGTTTTGGGAGAACTTTACTGTGTATCCTCAATTTTTTACTGAGTTTTTGTGGGTTAGATGAGGAATATGTGTATGCACACTTTCAGGACCTCATATGTCCTTTACCGCAGTGTAGCAATAATGAGTTGTGTACAATTTTCTGGGAAGAAAAAAGCTATTGATAGTCATGACCTCCAAAATGTATACTCATTACAGGACATTTATTATTGAAGGTATAGTTTAAGACCTTTTTGTAAAATGACAGTGAAAGTAAATTTTTAAAAAAGGTCTAATTCCTAGTATTGATTACTAAAAGGTTTGCTTTTAGTAGCAAAGCTCATAATAAATCTTGATAGCCCATTTGCAGGATCAGAAATCTTGAATGATAGCCTAGAAACACAGATAAAATTCTGAGCTATTTATATCATGCCTTTTGTTTAGAGTGGTGTTCTTGAGGAAAGAAAATGAAGCAATTCAGCAAAAGGAAGAACAAAGTTTGACACCAGAATTTGAAAAAAGATCATTTTCTCACAGATATTGTTTCACACCCAACAACTCTCAGCAATGTAAGGTTGATTATTTAATTAGCATAACAGGGTTAAAGGGTTAGTCTGGGAATCCAAAAAACATTCTGGAAAAAGATGAGAAGGCAGGTCTTTTCCACTTCATTGCCAAGTGAATTGCATGATGTGTTTAGGTCATCAGCATTGAGTTCAAGTAAAAAGATATTTTACGTTTAAATGTAAAATTGCACTAAAAGGAATGACTCCTCCCTTTTTCCTAATGTTGACTTAGTAGCATTATTTTCTTAGTAAAACTATTTATAATGATTAGTATGAGTTTAAGGTATAATCAACAGAAATTGGAAAGTGAAATTATGAATTAAGTTGAGATTATGCTAAATGATGAACACCACCAACAAAATTTTAATTGAATGGACTGATATATTGTTTTCTTAATTTGTCGTGTTGCTCAGTGCTAGGCCACACAAAAACAATCAAAATTAGAAGTTATGACTCATTAAGTGTCAGCATGCCCTTAACCTTAATTTATTTGCAGATGGCTTCTGCTCTAAATGACAAGTTTGACCAGATGGTTTACATGAGGCATGCAATTCAAAGCATTTCTTCCATTCTACGTAATTACTGGCCACTTAAAGCCCAGTATACACCCTTTCCATACCAGCACAACAGATGACATCAATAGAATATATTTTCCAACTAAAATAAACACTTCTTCCCTGGTATAATTTTAGTTATGCCACAATATACCACAAAAGAGCTGCATGTTATTTCATTGATATCATTTAGATTTTTAAATATATGTATGACTTAAACCTCTGAAGTAGATTCCTTATGTTAACTGAGTAACAAATTTATAAGTTTAGGCTATAAATTAATATATCCCATTTTCAGCCTCCGCATGCCCCATTTTCAGCCCGTTCCAGGCGGCAGGGTTCAAAAGGGGCCAAAAATGGAAGGCATGGAGGCTGAAAATGGTGCACATGCAGGCCGAAAACAGGATCCAGAGGGCGAAAATGGGGCGTGTGGAGGCGGCAATAGGTGATGGCGATCCCTGCAACCTGAAATAGCTGATTGTCAGGAGGCTGATCCAACTGACAGTCAGCTGCTTGTGCTAATCAGGCTGTGCTGAAGCTGACCAGGCTCTTTGCTGTTTGCTACAAGCAGGCAAATTTCTGGAAGGCAGAGGCCGAAGGGTGGGGGCAGGTGGGTGGGTGGGGCTTCAGCAACATACTCTGTATAAGATGCACAGACATTTCCACCCACTTTGGCGGGCGGGGGGGGGGAGTGTGTCTTATATACTGAAAAATATGGTAGTTTGTACTTGTTAGAAATCATTTATAAAATTAGTTATGTGCTTTTTATTTTTAAAAAATGTTTCTAGAAATTGGAAAACATAATGAAACAAAAACCATGGAACTATATAAAATTCCTTAAATAAATATTTTTAAAATATCACAAAGGGCTTTGCATGCATTTCCTGAGGCATTTGCTGGCATTTACTTGGAAGAACATCACTTTTCTATAAAGATAGATATCCATGACATAGATATTAAGACTTATAACCCTCTGGATAACTTTCACTTGGGATATGGAATCAATCCCACAGTGATCATAATTGACTTCTAGCAAGACCAAGACAAGGGAAGTGCAACCCTCTTGGTCTTGTCTGATCTTTCACAGCCTTCCATAACATTAATCATAGTTATGTTCTAGATTCACTGCAAGTATTGAGAGTGGAAGGCGTTTTTCAGTGCTTTCCCACCTTCTTGAATGTGTCATTCCAGTCAGTAGTGATGGGGGGAAAGAAGTTCAAGGATCATGGTCCTTTATTCTGGGGTTCTACAATGTTGGACAGTCTCTCTCTTCCTATTTAACACGAACATGAAGCCATAGAATGAAATCATCAATTGCTACACAATCAGATATATCATAAGTATACAGTGTATGAGTGTAAACAGTTCTGTGTCTCAATTGCTGGCCAAACAGGAGATGTGGTTTGGATGCTTTCTTGATATCTGGGACAGCTGGGTCTAGATAGGGATGACTAGGTTCAGTGCTATTGAGATAAAATGACTCTGAGTGCAAAAGGAGTTTGGTCTAGTGGTTATGGCAGTTGGCATGAAGAGCCAGCTGAATGACTTTTGGTCATTCACTCTCTCTCAGCCCAGTTTACTTTACAACATTGTTGTTGAGAGGAAAATAGGAGGAGAAAGGAGTATTGAGTATGTTTGCCACATTGAGATATTTATAAAAAATAATAAAGATGGGATAAAAATATCTCTTTAAAAAGCCTTATGATCCCACAGAAATTCCATCTTTAATTCTGGATGGATCAAACTACTATATTTTATAGGAGCAGCCTATCAGATCATTAAATAATTATACAATTTTAAAAATTCCTGCCTCAAAGCTGTATGACACATTCTAAATATGCTATGCTAGGGTGACTTTCCAGTCTTGAATACAACAGAGAATAAATAATAAATGCATTTATTCATTTTCATCCACATATTGCACAAATCAATGAAACTTTTTTCCAATATCAAATGTACAAAAATCAGCAATTTAATACATCAATTATTCAATAATAATAGTTAATAAAAGCAGTATACTATTAAGAATCACTTATGCAAAGAAAAAATGCTGAATATGTTTGAGCCTGATAGCAAAAAGACAGTTCTTCTCACAAGACAATATGCCATAACAAAGTTGTTATGATCAAAGTAACTAAATATAAGCACTGTCTTAACTTAAATTGCAATCTTATTCTTCCTTATCTTTCAGTGGGAACAATTCCCATTGAATTCAGGCTTAGTTGTGAGTAGGTAAGCATAAGACTGCTCTGTTATATCAATGTATTTAGCTTGATCTCAGAAATTATGCTTTAGAATGTCTGTGAATACATAGTAAAACAACCTTATAACTGAGGGAAACCATCACTGAGAAAGTTTATTGACCATAAGGTCAATTTAAAAACAAGAATGTAAATTTAACAAATTATATATTACAACATTCCTAAACATTTATACCACTTTCTCTTTATTCCTGGTTGCCTAGATCAAACTTTAGAATATCCCAACATTGTATCTGAATCATTTTTTGCTATGATGAAGCCTTTCAAACAATATCAAAGACACCCATATACTGTGATGGAAGAAACTACCATTAATCTTCCTAGGGACTTCCCTTACAGGTAAATCAATAAATTATTTTTAAAATGTCAATTTGTTTATTAAATGAATTCCTTTTAGTATAGTTTAAAATATCTTGCTTTTATTCATATTAAGATTTAATCCATCTGAAAGTAAGTGCAGCTATTCCATGCCTAGTCCAGCACTCAATTTTTAAATGTTATTCTGCCTTTTCATCCTTTCCTTTTTGGGGGTAAATTTGTCTTTGAGTAAATTTCCAGTGTTGAGGGGATTTCTATCCTACTTTAACATCTGTAGGGTATACTGTATCATTTCCTGTCCAGCTAGATAACATAGAAATCCTCTAGAATTCCCCAAGAAAAATACTTAAAGAGAAAAGGGGTTCTGTTTGAAAAGGAATTATTTTAATAAACTTCTCTTACAGTGAAACTCAAGGGGTTTTTGGGGAGGGGGTGTGATCTTTATAAATAATTTTGCTCTGTATTATTTTATTAATATCTTTTTATATCCTTGGCTCTGATAAATATGAGCACACGTCAATCATATTTTTATTATCAATTCCTATTTATGCTATTTTCTGTAGCACTACACTGTTGAAATGCTTATTTAATTTTTTAAATGTTTTTCTTTGGGAAGCTAGAAAAGAATCTAAGAACCATGCTCACTGTGTGAAGTTTTAAAATCCTTAAACAGTTCTGAAGCCTGTCAAATTGGTAATTCTATGTTTGTATATATACTTACCCAGCTTTAAAGAAACTGATGGCAACAGAGATACTTCCCACCACAAACAAGCACGTTCTCTCTGGTAATATGAGTGTTCCTGAGAGCAGGAAATCTCTCCTGAGACTTAGCAAAGTAGGCTTTACAATTCTAGCTCAAAAAACATTTTTAACAAGGAAAAACATTATAAAGATAGACAAAGCCCAGCACTTATTTAATTGCATCTTAGCATGTAGAGAATCCCAAGGTACATGCTGTGTGTGTGTGTGTGCCTGAGAAGGAAAATAAAAGGAAATGATCTGAAATTAGCAAAAAGCAAGCAGAGAAACAAAGGACACAGAATAAATCTCTATTGATATCCCTCTTTGTACCCAGTAACTTACAAGATGCCAAAGGATCAATGCCATGGTATTCACACTTCCAACACTTTCATTTTAACCAAGTTTTGGGTTTTTTGAAAAATGTGGAAAAAGTTTGTAAATACATGATAATTGTAAAGGGAAGGTGATGGTATCTGGTTCTCTAATAAATTAGAAACAAAGTATGGCAACTAGTAAGCCTTCTTTGGAATGTCTGAGAATATCCTACAGAAGACAAAATGCATGTTGGAAGCCTCAACCTAATGTCTCTTTGAAAGAATGTCCCTATGGAAGAGGACACAGGAATGCAAAATATTCAGACACTAGGACTGTATTAAATTGATATGCATTTTTGTCCTTAAATAATATATGTTTAATTCAATGTAATCTGTTATATGTATAGGCTGGCCTGGGGGACACCAACTTCTCAAGATCTGAAGATAAAACTTTATCATCCTAAACTGAAATTGAGAAAAGAACAAGGAACAAGCAAAGTGGTTCAAGAAAAAACACTGCAACCAACCAGATCAATTCCAGACAAAGGGTATATTTGACAGATAACAGTCACTATGATGCCAACACTCCTTTGTTAGCAACAGTGTTAACTGTCTCAGCATTACATTTTCATGTAAAGACAAAGAGAGCAAAATTTTCAGTGTGGTTTTTCAATGTACTTTCAAGGTTTCATAGATTTTTAAGTAAAAGGGGAAATATTTATGAAACTGCCCAGTTTTAGAATGCTGTTTTAAGACTGCTACTAAAATCTGAACATTTTAAAGCAAAACTGAGCAGATATCTGTCCGTGTTTATTACATTTTTCCCACACTAATCAGTTTTTTGTTTTGTTTTGATACAGCCAAAAGGGCAGCGTTGGCTCTTTATAATGGTAGACTTATTGCCTTGATAAAAATGCCAGACCTGGTGCTAGTTTCACAGAGCCAGCAAATAACAGGATGTAGAGATCTCTGGGCAATCTTTTGATTTCACAGATGTATCAATGGCTCCAGAGTAAAAAAAAAGAATCATAATAAATTTTATCCTTACTTCTGTATAATATGCAAGCTTTACCACTAGTATAATGTGGCATATTTCCATGGATGTGCAGTATTTTCATAGCTGCTATCACTAATGTAATAAAAAGATAAACATTTTTTTAAAAAAATCTCCATATTCACTAGTTTAGCAAATTTACTGTTTCTTCTATTGGAAAATTGAACATGGCAACAATAAAAATATGAAAACGAACAGAAGGAAAAACAAACATTGAAATGGAATTGAATTGGCAAGTGTATCCTTGTACAATAAATATATCATAAATCCCAAACTTCTATCCTTTTAAAAAGTTATTTCTGAGAGGATGCCAAAATAGTGATTCTTAAACGAAAATAAAGACCATGCTTTATGGTCCATGGGCAGTCTGAAATCAAAATGCAAAGACCTGTTGTAGGTTTTGTTCCTGAAGAACAGACTGTCAGCAGTAAAACAAAGAGGCATTTCATTGCTGCCTGGTTTTTACTTCTACTTCTTCTGTAATGCTAAGTGAGCATAAATCAACATGAAATTACATGAGAATGAAAAGCAACATTTATCTCAGGAGCGAAAGAAGCACAAGTTTTGTTGTCTTATATTTAAAAAAAGACCCAGCTCAAAACTTCCAATTGGTGAAGAAGTAACCCAACAATTTTGATATATATATTTTTACATCCAGCTACTGTAATCATTCCATTTCATTGAATGTAGCAAAAAATTGTTAAACTGTCTATAAATGTGAAACACTTGATCATCCTTTTGATGTTTGTAATTTTACTTGAAAGAGAAATTGTTTACTTTGTTTATGGAGATCCAGGTCTTGGTTGCCCCAAAGGTGCCTTTTTTCAAGAGGCAATTGGACTTTCTGGTTTTTATTTGAAGACATTTCACTTCTCATCCAAGAAACTTCTTTAGCTCTGTTTACTTCGTTAACTTTTGAAGTTCTAGTCAGTTTACTATCGTTAAGAACTATTTTTTCCTTAATAAAGGCCACATTTGGCCACAAATCCATGGTGGGGACTTTATTGTAAAAAAATATTGAATGTTTAATTCATATTTCAATATAGTTAATGTGGCTAATAATGTTCTTTCTTCCATTCTTCAGGAGATACATCTTAGTGAATGATCCAAATTCAGCACCTTCAGTTCCCCCTATGAGTTTACTGGAAAGCAGATTGCTCAGTGCCCGTTTTCCTGTACAGAAAGAAAAGATTCTTCGTTCTCTCTTCTGAGATGCGGGAAGCCAAGTAGTCTTATCCATTTCTTTCACCAGCTTTGTTGTAGAGAATAAGCCATTTTCAACATCTTTACTACTTGCATACCTTCACTAGATAGTAATAGATAGGTAAAAGCACATTCTTCCTCTCTTTCCTCCCCAAACCAATGTAATAGCTCATTCTCCCTTTATAGTATTTGAACAAATTAACCTGGTTTGATTAGCCATGCAATAACACCAACATCTGAGCCTCCACATTTCATTGTGTAGTATGAATTATTTTTATGATGTACTTTTTGCAACTTTTAATCTATTCTTACATGAATATTGTCAATGAAGTAGTTTTTGAGAGAGTAACAGCAGAGCAAAATATTCAGAGGTGGTTTTTTTGTTCTTTTTCCAATATGGTATGTATTTCACTTCCTTGTACCTGCAAAGACAGGGCTAACTCTCTATGCTGTTTCTGTAGCCACATCAACCTGGTTTTGGTAAACTGGTGATCTGTTCATTCATGGTCCAATCCATCTTGAGGATTAATTAGTAGCTAAATTAATTAGTTCTAGTTACTACTAAATGAGATGTAGGGTTAGGATTAGGTTTAGTCAATCCTGAAAGGGGAGTCACTTTGAAATTAAGACAGCTCACAAACTGCTGAAGCTTGCACATACAGATTTCTTGCCCTATTATCAATGCATTGGAACCCATGTCCTTAAAATGTCTAATTGTACTAGTTTAATTCAAGAGATGTGAGCTGGTAGCAAACCTTAAGATCTTTAATTAAAATATTTGGTATAAAGGCAAAGATAATGTAATTTTGCTAAACCAATAAATGATTAATTTAAAACTGCTCTGGCCAACATTTCCCTTTTCCTTGTGTAAGATTTTGTCTTTTAGTTGCTTTCTAAACTCCATTTTGAGAATGAGATCACTACCATAAAGGTGGTTGGCTTCCTTTGCCTAAAAAGATTCAACTTTCATACCTGCTGTGAAAGTTTTGATTGGGATCCTTGCAATAAGCAAAAGATTGAACTGAGTTGTCCAACCATGCCTCTCAACTCCACAATTCTACATTTTAAGAGTTCTTTGGGAATGATTTGAAACTCATTCTCCCCCCCCCAAAAAAAATATTTGATGGTATACCCAGGTAATCCTCAACTTGCAACCTTTTGTTTAGTGACTGTTCAAAGTTACAACTTTGAATCTTGACCATTTTTCACACTTACAACCATTGCAGCACCTCCATGATCACATGATCAAAACTCACACACTTGGCAACTGGCATGTATTTATGACGTTTGCAGTGTCCCAGGATCACATGACCATCTTTTGCCACCTTCTGATAAGCAAAATCAATGGGGAAACCGGATTCACTTCACAACCATTATTACTAACTTAACAATGACAGTGATTCACTTAAGAACTTGTGAGAAAGATTGTAAAATGGGGCAAAACAGACTTAAAAACTGTCTCGCTTAGCAAAGGAAATTTGGGGCTCAATTGTGATTGTAAGTCGAGGTCTACCTGTAGTAATTACTTTTCCCAGTTTATATTATTAATACTGTTTTGCATTTTTTTAAATACACAAATAATTTGACAAATGGATGTTTCTGTTTAAAATGAGGATTAATTCCCTCAAATCGTTTAACCAGAGTCACATATAAAGGGAAATGGTTAGTGCAATCAAATATATTTATACTCAGAAGCAATGAAGAATGATCAGATAGATACAAGGGTGTCAAACTGGCAGCCCACGGGTCAGATGCATCACGCACAGGCCACATCCACCCCAGCTCCATGAAGGGAAAAAATGATACAACACATGACAATATGACATGGCAAGTTTGATACCCCTGAGATAGAACAAGCACTAATATTAAAAACCTTATATTTATGGTATATTAATACATCATTTATCTTACAATTTATTTTGCACAAAACGTCAGAGACAGGGAGAAGCATGCCTGACTTTGAGAAAATAATTTAAGCTTCTCTTTCCATCTGTTGAATGGACATGGTATATTAAGCACCCAGAGAGAGTAAAAGAGGAGAAAGAGGAAATTGCATTTACCACACATGGAAGACAATGGCAGAAGGAAACAAGGTGATTAAGCTGCTTGTAAAAACGGTGAAAGTTAGAGAGGAAATCAACAAAATCAGGTTAGAATTCAGAGAAAGGAGAAGTCACTTCTTTGTTCACTGATAATTGAATCAATGTGTTGCATCAAGTCTTCTACAGCAGGGATTGGCAAATTCCCAGCAATGTGATTAATAGAAGCAGCATGTGTATCTCCTTTAACGCAGTAAGCAATGGAATAAGAAGAAACAGCATTTACAGAGCCTTTGAACCCAGCTCATCATCTCCTTTTCCTAGCTATTTTTCTGTTATTTCTTTCAGTTGTTTTTTTTTTTGGTTTTTATTACTGCCGGATTGCATTTATTAAAATATTTGCTTTTTTGTTTTGCTTCTTTATTTTGTTTTAATCTTTGATTTAATGGGTATATATTTTTAGTTATCCTTGTAACCAACAATGAAATGGGTATTAGGTCCAAGATTTAAATACACCAAAATACACAAATATTATGGGTTTTCAAGGGCTTTGAGGTTTCAACAATAACCGTTCACATCTTTGAATGAAAATAAAGGGAGAATTTGCTTGATAGCACAGGAAGAAGAATGTAAATGGGATTACCATGAGTGCATTTACTTCAGAGAGATGCTTTGAGAGCTGAATGTCATGAAAAGAAAATAATGCTAAAGTAAAGCCATTGAAATAAAAGGGTCAAGGTCTTTTTTCTTTTCTTTTCAAATATCTTAAATAAAGGTTTTGAAGGCTACTGAAGCCATAGCTTTTCATTCAAACCAGGGAATTTTGTTTCTCAGGTTTATGTAGTCTGCTTTTGTAGTCGGATTTTCTCAACTGAGGAGTCAAAACTAAAAATATACTGCATATGTCTGTGCATGCACAAAAACATCTTAGAATGTTATTCATGGTCTACAACATGCATCTGTAAAACCTCACCATTTCACACAGAAATAAACTTTCATTGGTATTCCAGTCCTTTTGCAAAAGTAAAAGTTTAGTGTAGAAGTTTAGGATGGGCAACTTTAAGACCTGTAGACTTCAACTCCCAACACTCAACTTCATGTTGGGTGGGGAATTCTGGGAGTCTACAAGTCTTAAAGTGACCAAGGTTGAAACCTCCCCCCACCCTGGTTTAGCATATTGTTTCAACTCTCCTTCCTAGCAGTAACAGTAGCCTTCTCAGTACTGTGGTCCCATCAGATGGAAAAGTATCCTAGAGACTTTCAACTCTGTTCATATCCACTCTGTTTCCAATTTAAACTGAGATGTGATTGGGGAAATGGAGAGAATTATAAAAACAAGTTTAAGCAGATACTTTACCTGAAGTTTATTGCAAATTCAGTCTCCAACAATGAATATAAAGCAAGATACCTAAAGCTTGGAGAGAAAATATAGCAATATTTTTTTGTATGCAGCAGAGATTTACATTGTTCAAATAGGAATAGCACTTAGACATATACCATTCCACAGTGCTTTACATCAGGGATCCCCAACCTTTTTGACGCCGCGGCCCGGTACCGGCATCAGCTGGGCGCCGCGGCCCGGTACCGGCATCAACTGGGCGCCGCCATCTTTTTTTGACGAAAAAGATGGTGGCGCCAGCGCTTCCGGTGAGCTTTTTCGGGTAGAAATGGCTTTCTACCCGGAAAAGCTCACCAGAAGCGCTGGCGCCGCCATCTTTTTTTGATGAAAAAGTGCTTCCGGTGAGCTTTCTACCCAGAAAAGCTCACCGGAAGCACTTTTTTACCAAAAAAAGATGGCGGCGCCCAGCAACCAGCGGCCCAGTAAGAGTTGTTCCGCGGACCGGTATCGGTCCACGGACCGGCGGTTGGGGACCCCTGCT